GTGTATAGGAGAAATTAAAAAGTCTACTGCAGTAACTATGCACGGGCTGTATCTATAATTATTTGTATGAGGGGATTTTAAATGCTAATTAGGTGTTTTGACCAAATCAATAAATGCAGGCATGTGGATTGAAAAAAGTTAATAAATGCTGATCAGAGAATTTTGACCAAATCAATAAATGCTGAGGTTTCTTTTTTAATTTTAAAATAAAAAATTTAGAAAATTAAGATTGAGATATTAGAGCTCCCACAAGGATTGGGGTTTAGAAACCCCCTTTTCCTTAATATATTTACAATTATCTATATATGTGAATTGCGATTTTTAAATGTCTTTTTTTTTATTTTTTAAATGTCTTCTTTTTTCCTTTTTTATATTATATTAAAGTTTAACATTTTGATAATAATCATATGTGTTGGACTTTTCAGTGAATTAAATGTCTTCTTTTTTTATTATATTACATTAAAATTTAATATTTTGATAATAATCATGTGTTGGACTTTTAAAGAATTTTTTTTTTTTAATGTTTGTTCTTAATGCATTAAAGTGTTATTATGAGGGATAATAATCATATGTGTTGGGACTTTTTAAGGAATTTATATGTGTTGGATTTCAAAGTATTTTTTTCATACTTGTTCTTAATACATTAAAGTATTATTATGAGGGTAAGACTTTAGGGTTGGGAGAAGTTAATAAACGCTAAATTTTTTTTTTAAATCAAAAAATCAGAAAATTTAGATTGAGAGATTGGAGCTCCCACAAGGCTTGGGATTAAAAATCCCCTTTTGCTTAATATATAGTATAGATAATTATCTATATATGTGAATTGTAATTTTTAAATGTCTTATTTTTATTTTTTTTTAAATGTCTTCTTTTTTTCTTTTTTTATATTATATTAAAGTTTAATATTTTGATAATAATCATATGTGTTGGACTTTTCAAGAATTTTTTTTTTATACTTGTTCTTAATGCATTAAAGTGTTATTATGAGGGATAATAATCATATGTGTTGAGACTTTTCAAAGAATTCTTATATGTTAGATTTTAAAGAATTTTTTTTATACTTGTTCTTAATGCATTAAAGTGTTATTATGAGAGTAAGACATGAGGGTTGGGAGAAGTTAATAAATGCTAAGATTTTTTTTTTTAAATCAAAAAATTAAAAAATTTAAATTGAAAAATTGAAACTCCCACAAAATTTGGAATTAAAAACCCCTTTTACTTAATATATAGTATAGATTTTCTTGAGCACATTGACTGTTCTCATCACTAACAGAAGAAAAAAAAAAAAAAAAAAAATTCGTTGATTGCTTTTTCAAACTTTAACTGGTGCAAAGATCGTGGAAATCAAAATGTCGTAAAAAAAGTTCCTTTCTATACTAGACCATTTTGAGAGTAGATTTCAATAATTAAAAAAAAAAAAAAAAAACTAAAGTCATTTTTGGTTTTTTATTTAATTTAAAAAAGCTCAAACAAACAATAATATTTTCTTAAAAATTTACTGAAATGTAAGAATTTTAAGGACATTGATGGTTTAGATTTATTTTCGGATAAATTACAAATACACCCGTTGAGGTTTGATTCAAATATGAATCACCCATGTAGTTTTGAAAATTACATTCCACCTCTTGAGATTTCTAATTTCATAAGAAATTGTCCATTTTATTAAAAAATCATTAAGTCAATTAAGAATTTTTAATAATATTAGAAATATATTTCAATTAATAATTTATGTAATTTTATTATGGTATATGTGAGCAATTATGAATTTTATTTTTTAATTAATTCTGTTAAATAAAAAAAATTAACAAGGAGACATTTATAATTTTTTAAATAATAAGAAATAATTTATATTTTATTTAAACAAACCTCTGTGAGTATATTTATAATTTACCAATTACATAATTCACTAAAATATTAGAATACCAAGGGGGTGCCTTAACACGATTTTATAGTCATGATTTTAATTTGGAATCCAACCATTTATATATATATATATACACACCAACGACTGGCACCAGGGGCGGTCCAACCCTTTTGGAGGCTTAAGACAAAATTTTAAAGTAAGACATTTTGTTATTTAAATGTCAATTATAGTTTTTCATATTTTATTTAATATCATTTTGTTATTTTAAATGTCAATTATTTAAAATTAATTTTTCTTGCTCTTTGTAATGAAAAATTACTAATTAAATTTTTGCAATCAATTTTTTAATATGTCTTATTCAATGTATAAATTAGCTAATCCGCTTAATTATTTAATTGATATAGTCAATATTAGATGTGATTTTATTAATTTTATATTTGAAAAAATATTTTTACAAAAGCAACTAATAGTGATGTTGTTAATAATATTTTATAATCAATGCATATATTTGAAAGGAGTATATAATATTCTCATATAATTTATAAGTGAATTGGTGTATTTTCTTTTTCTTAATTCAAAAAATAAAGGATAAATTACAAATATACCCCCGAGATTTGTTTAAAGTACAGATTATCCCATGTGGTTTGAAAAATTATAAATACTCTCCCTTGTTAAAATTTTTGTTTAATAGAATTAACTAAGAAAATAAAATTCATAATTGCTTACCTGTACAATAATAAAATTACCTAAACTATTAATTGAAACATATTTCTAATATCATTAAAAATTGTAAATTGATTGATAATTTTTGTAATTACCCTTATGTAATTGAATAAGATTTTTGCATTTATTAGGGAAATATGTTCTTTGGTTTCACTAGTGTAAACTTGGTGGAGGGGGGAAAATTTTCCTAGCCCCCATGTAAACATTAACAACACTGATTTAGTGTTCTAAATTTGCACTATTAATGTTAGTTTTAATAAGTTGACAGTGTAAGAAAAACAAAAATAAATAAATAAAATGCAAACTATCACATCAATGATGAGTCCATATCATCGTTACGTTATTAATAGTCTATTAGTGATATGAAGTATTTTTAAAATATTAAAGGGGAGGGTTCATTGGCCTTTTTCTCTCAAGGCATTGTTGTACATTGTTTAATACAAGTAGAGAGAGGATTCATTGGACAATTCAAAGTGTTCAAGTCATTATCAAAATATAGTAGTAATATAAAGCAAAAGCATTTTGGTGTTTAGAGTGAAGTAATGGTGGTCCTCTGAAAGTCTACTGGCTTATTTTGTATTTGTAAGAGAGGGTTCAAGAAAAGAGTTGGAAAATTCGAAGATTTTCGAAAATTCTTGAAGAACAACTTCGAATTCTCTAGAATATGATGAGAGGCTTAGATTCTTCAATAATCTCAACTTAGGAACACAACAACAAAAGAGATGATGGAGATAAGAGATTGGGTGAAGAAGAAGGCAAAATGGCTAGAGAATAGAATAATTGCAAGGCTCTCCCACGGATCTCCCACTTTCACTCTCAAGGTTGATAATGGAGAAGGAAAATTAGTTCTTTCCCAAGAGTTAAAAATCTCCAAAATCCATCCCTTGTAAAGCTATGGGTGGGTGCTATTTATAGGCACCTCATGATGTAGGATGGAGCCCATGTGCAAGGCACATGGGGAATATTCTCTCTAACCACCTTGTCCGAGGAGGTGACCTCTCCGAGGAGGTGACTTCTCTGAGGATGAGAAAACCCCGAAGAGGAGATCAATCCCTCGGCGAACCCTTCTTCTTAGCCACACCTAACCAATGATCCCCAATCATCCCAAAGGGTCAGGGGTAGTCCCAGAGGACGTCCTGCCGCAAAATATTGCCGAGTCTCATGGACCCCCCGGGGTCGTGCCACCTCGACCCGGGTATAGGCTAGTTTAACCGAAGAGTGAATTTATCTCCACTCACCGTCCTCGGGATCGGGTCCTTTGTTCGAACTCCATTACGCCCATGGTTCTGGTGCGTAGATCCCGGAAAGCTCCGAGCCCGCAAGTGTTCTGGGACTCATTAACGGAGCGACTTCTAGATTGCGTCTGAATCCGTTCGAAGCCAAGTATTTCGGATCTCTAGGTTTGTGGTTCCGAACCCTTTCGAGTCCGAGTGCCTCGGATCTCTAGGCTTGCCTAATACCCTTTCGAGTTCCGGGCCTGAGTAAGTCTCTAGGTTCGTGGATCCGAACCCTTTCGAGTCCGAGTGCCTCGGATCTCTAGGCTTGCCTAATACCCTTTCGAGTTCCGGGCCTGAGTAAGTCTCTAGGTTCGTGGATCCGAACCCTTTCGAGGCTTAGAGCGATTCAGCCCGTTTGATGGCGATAAATCCGGGCCCACCAATCTTGGACGTGCGATAAATTCGGACCCACCAATCTTGGACTATTGGGCCTAATTAATTTAGTGGGCTTAAATTAGCTCCTCTTACATTTTCCCCTTGCGTGTATGAGAAATTGTCATTTTCTCGGACATTATGTCTTCGAGAATATTTGGTCTTGACAGAGTCTAAGGATAAAGCTGAGGATTCATCGTAATTTACAGATAAAATCGACAAATAATAAATAAATAACTTTTTTTTTTTTTTTTAACATCTAAGAAAATATTTCTCCACTCCAAGACAAAATAAAACACCTATCATCAATCATTTTTTTATTCTTGACAAGATAAGCCACACTTTTTCTTTTAGAATACAGCTAGCCCACTTTTCACTCTATAGTACAAAAAGGTGAGGCTCATGCACCTTTATTTTTTGATTTGGAAAAAAAACGAAAGTCTCTTTTATATATACTAGTATATGCTCGTGCCTAAAGGCACGGCGTAAATAATATTTTGTTTGAATAATTTTCATGTCATTCTCTCTTAAGCTAGGAACACTGAGAATCAAGCATACCTAATCTGTTTTACCATGACATACAAAAAATGAATAGATAACATACATTTGAGAAAGGAGATCCCCTTTATTATAAACACAACTTCAAATAAAGGAACAACAAAATGGTGTTCTCCCTTTGGAGCACACCATGCCAATACAAAAATAGTATTCTTGATCAAAATCTAAATAACAAACACCTTCAAATGTTTACCTCTCAACTCAAACCAAACCAAATCTGTATAAGTTTCTACAACGTCAATCATTTTCAAAGTTTGTCAACGATAAAACCAAAAATAACGTAAATTCTGCCCTCGAGATTGCCCCACTTTCAACACTCATCAATCAAAGAAGTGCACGTTTAGTTTATACAACAATAAATACAAAATCATTAGAGAGATAAGAAAAACTTAAACCTGAACAAATGTAGACTTGTAAAAAGGCAGTCAATATTACCATTCGCTTGTAGTATTCATCCACCTGTAAAATAGAAAAAAAGCCAATATAATAATTAAAAGAGACTATCCAATTCAAAACAAACGCACGCATTGTCACACTAATGAAATGTTTTTTTATAGACCACCCAATTCAAACCAAACACATACATTGTTGCAAAATAATAATTGGTTACCCAATGCAAACACTACGAACAAACACAACACATTATCAACACAAATACAAATTAATGATTGATAAAAATATTAAGAACGAAAGATGTGTTGATCACATAAGGTTAGACGTGTTCAACTCTTTCTTTTTGGAACTTCCTTTAATTGATCACATAAGGTTAGAGGGAAAATTTAAGAAAGACGTGTTCTTAAGAAAGAATTTAATAAAATAAAATTCAAAAAGCAAACTCTAACTAACTTAATTCTCCCATCATTTACAAATCAATACAACTTAAAAACCCCATTTATTTTCTTCCAAAAATCCAAAGCCATTTATTATATCAGTTTAGTCCCATCAATTTTGTGTATGTAACCCTCCATCATCTTCTTCAATCTTCACCTACACCCATTAAGATTCATTTTGCTTCCAATCTTAAATAAATTTTGAATATTTGTTAAGCAATACATGACCATAAGCAAAATATGAAACCAGCCCCTTTGGATCTATTTGGTTAGCTCATGGGCAGCAGCCAACAAAATTTAGATTGAAATTAAATAGACTATAAGACTAAACTGATATAATAAAATTCAATGGATAAAACAACAAATCAACAACATACAGTAAGGGGACAATTGTTTATAGGGTCTTAAAAAAGTAATAGGCAACGCTGAAACTATATATATATTTATCACAGCTTACCAATCCCTACTCCCAAATAAAGGGGGGGGGGGAAATAGAAAAACACAAAAAGGCCAATAAATATAGGAAAATCCATATCAGCATTTAAAGAGTATTTAGCAAGCTCAGAAGTATTTATAGATCCGTATATATTTATGAGTATTTAGCAAACAATAGAAAAACTCATAATATAGAAAAACCCATTTTATGAATAAAAAAATTAACACCCATTTCTCATTAAAGAATCAAACATTTCATTAACTGTGTGTGTGTGTTGAGTCAGTACCTTTGAGACCAACAATAGCAGGAAGTGTCTGGTTCATCCTCCTCAGTCACAACATTTAAAAAAGGAAAAAGAAAAAAAAAATGTGTCAATAAGATTACTTGCCTGCAATTCTTAATTAATGTCCAATTCTTTGTCTTTTCATGAACTCTCTCAATAAGTCATAATCTCTCTCCGATGCCAAAACTATTATTCTCTCATTAAACCAGTTTCTGCTCATCATCTCCCAAAACAGCCTGGCATACAAAACTGGAATTAGAGGTCAGCGATATTTAGATGATTGTTTAAACACCTATTGACATAATGTTGTTTTAAATTGGGGTTCTGTTCCTAACAGAAAATTGACTATATGGTCAGGAATTATGTGATATAATATTGAATTTGGTTTATAAACATGTATATTCTAAGCAAAAGGAGCTTATTCTAGCTTGAATGAAACGGAACTTTGATATTTGTTCATACTATGCGATCTCAAAAGTAATGTACACATACCTTATTTGTTTGTCAGAAATCAAAACTATATTATGGGAATGGCTGTGAAATGATAAGTTTATTTATTTTTTAGTTGAACAGAAAGGTCTGGAACCATTATTCTGATATTGCTTTCATGGTTGGAGAATAATGTGGCCAAAATTGGCCCCATTGATGTTGCAGGGGTTTGGGTTATTATTAGACCAAAATGGGGGCAATCCCTTTGGATGTCTTTTTATTCTTTATTTTTTATTGCAACACTATGGGCTTTTCTGGATTCTGATTTCATTCTTGTTTTGAGAGGGAATTAGAGTTTATTATTCTAGGTATCAATACTTTTCTGGCTCTCAAGGCATTTGTGTCCCTCTCAAATGTAACAAATCCCATGCTACCAAGTATTTGTAAGTGCATTCCTATTATAGAAAGTGGTTGTTATTTGCTGGCAAAAAAAAAAAAACAAACAAACAAACTGACTGAATCTGTACAATTTAGTGCTTAAAAGGAATGCATACCTTTCACTTCCATGTATTATTTTTTATTTATGGAACAGATATTGCAAGGAGAACTGAAAACAATTGGTGTGAACACAGTTTATATTCAACAATAAAGCAAAAAGTTTTGCGAGCAGGTAAAGAACAAATTTTTCCAACTCCTTCAAGATGCTCATGTCTCGTAATTTCCTAAAATTTCAAACCAATACGAAGGACTCACAGACATTCTGTCAAAACCAATTGTAAAGAGGGTGCAAGCCTATGTTTTCTAAGGCTTAATTTAGTTGGTAGTTTAGCAGAAAAACTTGGTAAAATTTCAGAGTCATGAAATTAGTTTGCCTTTTTTATAAAAAGACAAAAAAAAAAAAAAAAAAACTTATTCAAATTAATTGTGAGCTGAAAGACTCAAGTAATAAACTATTATCAATCCAATGGAAAAAGGGTTTGCCCAGTTTCTATATTAAAAAAAACACCATTTATATCAAATTAGATCTAATTTGTCTTAGAACCTTGAACCCATTGAAACAAAAAAACTAATGCCCATTAAAAAAATTCAGAGAAAATGCAAAGAAACTAAAATTGAATCAAATAATTCAAAGAAAATGTAAAGAACTCGTCAAATGTCCACAATCAACACAGTTCGAAGTGGTGGGAAAATGGAATGAATACCTTGGAAGAAGGTGCAAAGATAGATCCAAAAAATTCAAAAGATGATGAACGTCACCTTGCGAGCAAAATTCGAGATGCAAAAATCGAGGACTGGAGAACTGGAGAGCAGCTCCGGACAAAAACAGACCAATTATCAGAACCTTGAAGCCACTGAAACAAAAAGAAAATTCACAAAACCCAATAACAGAAAAACTAAAATTGAATCAAATAATTCTAATTTTAATTTTAGAATTCTAATTCTAATTCTAATCAAAGAAAATTCTAATTTTAATCAAAACCCAATAACCCAATTCTAATTTTAACAGGAGGGTCACCACAGGTTTGCGGCTGCTATGATAACAACAGGAGGATCACCCGTGTACAACAAACTAAAAAACTAACCAGTGGTAATAAAAAAACAGTCAATGGTGTTCTACAGAAAATTGGAAAAACTAACCAGTGTACAACAAAATAAAAAATAACCAGTGTACACTAAATGGTGTTCTACACTCAATGGTCACCACAACCAGTTCAAAAACTAATGTAGTTCTTGGTGCTTGGATAAAATGTATTAGATTGAGATGAGTGAATATTCCTGGCATCACACCATTTTTTTCTATTTAAAGAAAGGGATGACAACCTTAATCAATACCCCTCTCCTTTCTTTTTGCCTACAGTCGCCGAGAGCATTAACCTTTTGACAAGAAAAAGAAAACCTCATTCTCAGCCGTCTCTCTCTCTCTAAAACAGAGACCAACCCAGGTTTTTTTCTTCTCCAATAAGGTTTCGTTTATCTCCCTCTTCAACAAACCAAATGGCTCCGTTTGTGCACTGACTTTCATCGCGGCTTCAAGCAACACCGCCGACCTAGTTCTCTTCTTCTTCAATCGGAACTCTGCAGCTGCTAAATCAAGGGCTACCGCCGATTGCTCACAAGGCCCACCCAGCTTGCTACCTCTCCAAATGCCGTCGTCGTTGTCGCCGAAGATGAGCCACGGTTGTTGCTACAGATATTGTCATGCCGTGAGCCAACCATGACTAACCAGAAACCATCCTCTCTACTGCAACTTTACTCTGCTTAGAAATCTTCATTGTTTAGTGCTCAGAAATCTTCATTTATTTATTTATTTTTTGTTGACAAACCCTATTCTCAGGTTTCCATGGACGCCGTCTTCGCAAATCTATTTGCTGCAGCTCCAGGCACCGAGACCATCACTACTCCTTGCCGCGGCTTCATTACAACACAGGCTTTACCAATGTCGTCAAGCACTCCATCGGTGCTGCTGCTAATTTAGATGTCGCCAGCTCTATCTCATCGTCGGTGGAGATACAAGCACACGGGAGCTCGGTTTTTGCTCCCACAACCACCGAAGATGGCCACTGCTTGCATGCCGCTCGTCGTCCTAGCCTAGGCACCGCCGTCTGCCTACGAAAGAGTCACTCAAGGCACTGTCCTGCGCGCGACCAACCCAACTCGCGCGGCCTGCACGCTTCGCATCTGACCCTTGCGGTATCGCCCACTGCTCACGCCGTGGCTCCATACACCACTGACACTGCGACCCAAAGCGCCACCAGCTCGCGCTATCACCAGCAATGCTTCCCTTCAATTTAATGATGTAGTCTCTCAAAGATCCAGGCACACCGTAGCTCTGTTCTGCTGCAAGTGTCGACGCCGATCTCGCTGCGACGTTGCTGGTACTGTCCTTAACTGCCCAGCACCGACCACATATGCCGCCCACTCAACGTGGCGTGCGTGGTCTCGCCAAGAACCGTTCAGCTTGTTGTTGGTATTCTTTCTTATCTTAACAATATTTATTGGAGCTCCGAACTCACAAATTTCGGCCCTGCTTTCATACCCATTGAAATCCATCGCCATTGGTTCCGGCTATGATTAATCAACGCCAATCACACCGCCGACTCAGCGCGGTGTTGGTTTGCCTAGCTGCCTGCTGTTTCGTGTACCATTCTTGGCCTACACCGCCTTTGGTCTTCATCCTCTTCATTACTTCTCTAAGTCTGTGGGTAAGTATTATTATATACATATTTTTTAAATTTGGTGGAAACCTTCTTTGTGGTAAACCCAATTTCAGGATCTCTACATCTGATATATATATTTTGTGAATCTTGATTTGTTGATTGCTGCTCATTGTTTTTTTTTTCTTTGAGAAAGAGAATAAGACTCTGTTAAACCCATATTAATTGCTTGGCCATGGAGAGAAAAGAAATGCTCTGATATTGAATTTGCTAATCTTTGTTTTACAGAGGTAGCTGAATCACCGACTTTGAACATAAATATCTGTTGATAATGCTTGATAAAATACATTTTGAATCCTCACTTGGGATCTGAACTATACTGATGTTGAGACTTGTTAAATCCGAGAACGATGAAATTTTACTGCTCACTGCTCGTTGGTGCAACTCCAAGCACCGTCGTCATCGCTGAAGACCCACACCACTTTTGAGGATAAAGACAAACAACCTTTTTCTTTCTCTTCTGGGTATGCTTTTCTCTCTTTGAAGTATTAACGAATCAACTCTTATTCTTTTCCAGGTTGCCCACTGTCGCCGATCCGATTGTTGCCGATGCCACTATCCAAGCTATTGTTAGCACATTCTGACACTAGCTCTACTCCACCTTTCTTTGCTACAACTTTGCCTTCATCTTTGGTTGCCCAGTGCTTTGACTTCGTCTTCGACTGTTCAACGCGAACCACACGTCGCCCACTCAACGCGATGTGTGGTTTTTCCTAACATCATCCAGCTCGTTAGTCTCACAGCCCGGCGCTATTTTTTTGGAGTTTGAATCTCGATTTTTGCATACTCACTGGATTCGGCCGTGATTAATCAACGTGGACCACGTCGCCCTTTCAACGCGTCGTTGGTCCGTCTAGCACCTTTTTCACTTACTGTTTGTCGAAGCTACACTTACTGCTGCCGTCCTGTCTTGGCTGCCCCTGGCGCTGGCTTTACCGATCTCGGCCTTAGTTTTCTCCGACGCTGCTCTCTGTTGCAAGTTGGCCACCGGCTTCAACTATTCCAGCACCGACCACACGTTGCCCACTCAACGCGACGTGTATGGTCGCCACCTTCTTTCCGACACCATTGCTGCCTCTGGCCTCAACTTGTCCAACGCCGACCACGCACGTTTGCCCACTCAACGCAACGTGCGTGGTCTTGCCCAGCCTAGCTCAGTCTTGTTGATTACAGTCTATAAAACCTCTCTGATTTCAACTTGAATTTCCAACATCGGCATCGGACTTCACCCCTCTAACAGTCCCAAATTTGTGAGTATGAAATTCGGCTCCCTCTTCCTCTCGTTGAATAATAAAGATGATATATTGTTGTTTGTTTAACTTGTGGATGCTTGGGAAATACATAGCTGATGCCAAAATTTTGTGTGACCGTTGTAGCTTTACGTCGGCTTGAGAGGAACCGGCTCGGAGAGACAAAAACTTGATTGTTACATTTTCATAAACTTGCTCAGAGTAATAAAATTGTTGTAGCTTAAATGGATCATTATTATTTGTTGATATTGCTCCATTCTGATAATGTCTGAATCAGGATATGAAATTGATATTGCTCATCTCATTTGTCGATTTTACTATTTCAGGCAAATAAATTTTTGTGTGAAATCCACGACCTCGAGGCCTTCAGAATCTTCACTAATGAGAGCAAGGGCTGTTCCTCGAAAGTTCGAACAGAAGTAAGACTGTCCCTCGGGAGTCCGAAAGTAGCACACACCCTACTTTGGCAAGAAAGGTTCCTCTGGAAAATAACCGAGTCTACCAAGCTTGCACCAACAGAAGTAAAGATTGTTTCTTAGAGGTCCGAGCAGAAGCAAGGCTGTCCCTCAGAAGTTCGAGCGAAAACAAGGCTGTCCCTCAGAAGTTTGAGCAGAAACAAGGCTATCCCTCGGAAGTCTGAGTAGAAACAAGGCTTTCTCTCGGAAGTCCGAGTGGATGCGCACTTCTACTTTGGCAGTTAATAGAAGCAAAGGCTATCCCTCGGGAGTTCGAGTAAGAGTCCACTCTACTTTGAAAAGAAAGATCCTCGGAGCTCGTATTGATGAAATTAAGGGCTGTTCTTCAGACCCGCACTAATGAGAGCAAGAGTTGTCCCTCGGAAGGCTCTCCCTCAGAAGTCCGAGCAGAAACAAGGCTGTCTCTCGGAAGTCCGAGTGGATGCGCACTTCTACGTCGGCAGCTAATGGAAGCAAAGGCTATCCCTCGAAGCTCCCACTGACGGAAGCGAGATCTATTCTTCGAAAGTCTGAGGCGGAGAACACACTCTACTTCAGCAAGAAAGATCCTTGAGGCTCGCACTGATAGAAGCGAGGTCTGTTCTTCGAAAGTCTGAGTGGGAGCACACACTCTACTTCAATAAAAAAAAAAAGACCCTCGAAGCTTGCATTGATGGAAGTAAGGGCTATTCTTCAGAAGTCCGAGTGGGAGCACACACTCTACTTCAGCAAGAAAGACCCTCAAAGCTTGCATTGATGGAAGCCATGGCTGCTCTTCAGGGGTCCGAGTGGAAGTATACTTCTACTGTGTCAAGAAAACTCCCTTCAGGTTGGTAACTGAGTCTACCATTCCTTTTTCTTCTTTGAGGGGCAACAAAAATTGAAAACTGTTTCAAGCAACATAACACAATGAAGATATACAATGTAGAGAAAATAACTTTTAATGGAGATACATAATATGGAGGAAATAAATTTCTTTATAACATAAGAAAGATAGAACTTCATGGACAATGTAGTAAATGCAAACTGTAAATGTCATAGGTATACTTCTTTTACGAAATGTTGAAATTTGCCCCTAGAGTTGCAAGATCATTTGGAAAGCTTTCACCAGCTGCTCGGGTTGTGGCCATCATGCATCGTTATAGCCATGTCTTTGGATCTTTCTGTACAGACTGATATCCCCAGCCCCACAAGACTTTTCATGGATTTGTTGTAGTCGGAAACTTGCTTCTTGTTGGGCCAATAATAACCTTGTCTTTGGATTCTTCTATACAGACTGATATCCCCATCCCCGCAGATTTGTTCATGAATCTGTTGTAGTCGGAAGCTTGCTTCTTGTTGGCCAACACACCGGGCTAGGAATCCGGTACCTCCTCGGAAGTAAAGGTCACCTTGAATAATTGTGAATTGGGCAAGCTTGGCCATAGTCAGTTTTCAAACTTTGCTTCTGAGTTGTTCGAGGACTTCTCCTCTCCAGTCCTCCGGAAGGTCTTTGTCTTCGGGTATTATTGAAGGTTCCGTTCTCTTCTTGATAACAATTGTTGCCTCTTCCTCTGGGATATCAACTC